GATGCTACCAGAAAATTACCAGAACTCATCAGTGAATTTGGTAAAGTTGCAGGATACAAAATAAATACACAGAAACCCATTGCATTTCTATACACTAACAATGGAAGATCAGAAAGAAATAAAGAATTCCATTTAACATCACATCAAATAGAATAAAATACCTAGGAATAAATCTAACTGTATTCTGAAAACTATAAGGAGGCAAAAGACCTATACTCCATAAACTGTAAGCCACTGATGAAAGAAACTGAAGATGACACAAACAGATGGAAAAATATACCACGTTCTTGGAGGAAAATATAGGCAGAACACTCTTTGACATGAAATGAAGCAGTATCTTTTTTTGATCCATCTCCTAGAATAATGGAAAAACAAAAATAGACAAAAGGGACCTAATTAAATTCAAAAGCTTTTGCACAGCAAAGGAAACCATAAACAAAAAGATAACCCATAGAATAGGAGAAAATATTTGCAAATGATGCAACTGGGGGATTAATTTCCAAAATATACAAATAGCTCATACAGCTCAATATAAAAAAATAAGCAATTCAATTTAAAAAATGGGTAGAAGACCTAAATAGATATTTCTCCAAAGAAGACATACAGATGGTCAAGAGGCTCATAAAAGGATGCTCAACACTGCTAATTTATTAGAGAGATGCAAATCAAAACTACAATGAGCTATCACCTCATACCATTCAGAATGGCCATCGTCAAAAAAGTCTACAAACAATAAATGGAAACAGTGGGTAGAAAAGGGAACCCTCGCGTACACTGCTGGTAGGAATGTAAATTGGTACAGACACTGGAGAACAGTATGGAAGTTCCTTAAGAAACTAAAAATAGAACTACCATATGATCCTGCAATCCCACTCCTCAGCATATATCTAGAGAAAAATATGGTTAGAAAAGATACATGCACCCCAATATTCACTGCAGCACTGTATGCAATAACCAAGACATGGAAGCAACCTAGATGTCCATCAATAGATGAACGGATCAAGAAGATGTGGTACATATGCACAATGGAATTAGTACTCAACCATTAAAAAGTAGGAAACACTGCCATTTGCAGCAACATGAACAGACCTGGAGATTATAATACTATGTGCAGTAAGTCAGACAGAAAAAGGCAATTATCATATGATATCATTTATATGTGGAATCTAAGAAAAATGATACAAATGAACTAATTTACAAAACAAACTCATTCAGACAAAGAGCGAATTTATGGTTATGGGGTATGGGAGGGATAGATTCGAAGTTTAGGATTGACATGTACACACTACTGTATTTAAAATACATAACCAACAAGGACCTACTATATAGCACAGGGAACTCTGCTTAATACTCTGCAATAACCTAAACGAAAAAAGAATTTGAAAGAGAACAGATAACAGGTATGTGTGTAACTGAATCACTTTGCTGTATACCTGAAACTAACACAACATTGTTAATCAACTATATTCCAATATAAAATAAAAATTTTAAAAAGTATCTATAATCCTTCATGTTTTCTTTTAACTAATTTGTCCAAGTAGCCAGTTCTGTTATTATTACATTATATCTTGACTTTGTCTTATAGAGCTATTTGAATTAAACATACCAAATGGAATACTGAATAATTTGAAGGAAGTAAAAGAAATACAGAGGATTTCACTGTATTCTGTGGTGCGTGAAAATGCTCTTACATAACCATGCCTGGGAGCTAAGAAAGAAGCAAGAGCTTTCTTTAGCACCACAATCATGCCAGGGTTCTCAACTGCATCAGGATCTCTGCTACTGGGCAAGAAACAGTCTTGGTATAGATTCAGAAAAAATACCCACTTAGGGGTAATTTGTAATAACAGAAATAGTGGTTATCATGTACCTACACATATCAGGAATTCAACTTTTCTCATGTAGAACCAGAGGTTTAGAGAGATGAAGCAACCCGCCCAAGGTCACACAAATAGCAAGCAAGTTCCTGAGGGCAAGGACTGGATCTGAGTTGTTCAATCTGGAGAGCCTCAGATGTAGGATACAGTCACTGCTGGTGGGGTGCCTGTGTCTGACCTTTAATGGCAGAGGTGGTTTTGTTTTGCTTAGTTTTTAAGTCGGTTTAAGAAATTTGCACTTGTGCACTTGCTCTGTCTTGTGTTAGGATAGGGGCAGTTCTTAAAATGAGAGGTTGATCCAGGAGACAGTGAAAATTATTTTCACTCTAATATATGCTGACAACTTTACAGAATTATCATTTTTAAAGGATGTGGTATATTTATTTTTAAATGATGACCTCCCTAATAAAGACAACTATCTTTCTTGTGATAGATTCTTTATCAAATCCTTCCTTGTAAGTAATAATGGAAGGGGACTGTGTTATATAACACAGCAAAATGGGAAGCCGTCCTGGTTTTTTCTCTTTTATTATAAGGAACACAATAACAAAAAACAAACACCTGCCTAGAATATGGAGTTAGGCCCAGTTGAAATTTTTGCGGGGGGTGGGTGGGGGGGATTTCACAAAAGGTACAAGATACTCGTGGCTTCACCTTCTGAAATGAGATCTGACAGCTATTCCACACCACAGAGCAATGTTACATAAAAGGCAGTTCAAGAGGCAAAAAAGAAAACCACATTGAAGTGAGGCTTTGGTGAGTGGGTAGGTGGTTCAGCAGACTACACTTTCAGAAACAAAAAAACAGTCAATGGCAAGGCCACATGAATGATTATCAGTATGTAAATGCTCAGGACTTTCCCGACAATAAATCTCTGAGCTGGACATACTTACATATCACAGGCAGTGACCTTCTAAGTGAGCATTTGTGTGGGAGAGCACTGCTCCAGCCACAGACTCTGAATTTTTTTAGGGATGTCCCCAGAAGTCAAGTATGCCCCCCACTTCATTTTTTTATAACGCGACCCCACAGAAACATTTTTTAAGAAACAAAGAGTAATTTCAATGGAAAGAGTCAAATTTTGAGACTTTTGACCTCATTAGCAACTCTAAAAAGTATGTAATGCAATCCACTGTCCGACATGAGCTCTTCCTGAGCATACATACTTTACTTTTTTTAAAAAACAGTGAGTTGAAGCTCATTTAAATTTTTTAGCTCCAGAAAGGGAAGCAGACTTCTACTTTTTAATATGCTCCTTATAAACAACAACAACAAAAAACTAGAATTTTAAAACAGTATTGGTACTAAGCTATGAGTCACAATTGGTCCCACAGTCAGTACTTTCTGGTTTTACAAAATCTGCTCATTAAAGTCACATGTTAAATTAAAATTGAGAAATTACTGGAAGACAGAACCCCCAAAATGAAAGAATGTGCTAATTTATGAAATTCTTGAACAGATCTACCCTTTGCTTTTTATCAATATTGACAGAAAGCATGTACAATGAACTTAGCACTAAAATGGCATCCTTAACAGGTAAATCTGTTTCTGCTTAACATACCAGAGGGATATATTTTAAAAATCTCAGCCATTCTGAAAGAGTTCACATAATTTCCTGCTTAGGAACCCAAATGGCTATTTTTGAGACCAAACATGTACCTAATTTGATATTTGCAAAAGGATATATTTGGGATCATTTTCCTGATAAAAATACTGTTAAGACCAGGTGGCACATCATGCAAGACACTGAGGCCTAGTACCTACAAGGGACTGTTTAGGTTCATAAATGGAAGAGGTACTTAAGACTGGATACATTTTACATCAGTGGTCTCAATTTCATTTTACATCAAAGACTGGTTGAAAGGTCAAGTCTTTAATAATGTTGAAAGACAGAAAAGAGAACACTATTTGGTTTACCTTGAAATATTAGCAATCATTACACAGCCCATGCACTCGGGAATGTATCCTTTATCCCCAGATAATCTCAAGTTCATAAAAATCTTTTTCACTATGGAAAAAGCTGAGCATATTGGAGGCTGGGTATTTGGCATTTTAGTAAAATTAATGCTAGTGTTAAAAATCAGGATAAGTTGCAAATTTGGAATGAAATGTCTTACTACAGAGCTTGGTGCATTCTAGCTGCTGAATAAATTAATAAACAAATGGAAGAGCAGGGTCTCCAGCCTTATCATCTTCTGAAAACAGATACCCCCTAACATCAAAACTAATGCCATTTTGTCTACACTAACCATATTCTTATCTCAGGAACTTCATCATAAAGTTGTATAACTATTGGGCAGTTACTATAGAAATGCTAGTGCATTTACCCATGAAGTGTAATTGGGTCTCCTTACATACAGTCTCACATATGTTCTCTGAATTAGGTTGCAAAGGACTGAACTTCAAGGTCTTGTATCATGCTATAAATGCAGGCAAGATCTACATATAGTTTGAATCTACACACACATTTTGATGAAAATGATTAAAGTACAGTTGGTAAAACACAGTAGCATAATAATTAAAAACTATACATATATACACATACACAAGGTGAAAAGAAATACTCAAAAAGTGAAGAGAAGCTGCTAAGTGTCAGCAGCATAACAGTCCCATGGTAGCCATCCTCCTTTTTATCATGGTCAATTCATTAGCGAGGAGAAAAGACAGAAACTATGGGAAATGGACACCATCTGCTCAATCCAGATGCAACAGCACATGCTTCTTATAGCCAAAGCTTTTTACCAGAAATGAAAGGAGATAAGATCTAATCCTCTCACAAAATATCCCAGAAAGGTGGTTAGACATATTTGCATCACAAATAATGCCAAGATCATTATTAATTGAGACCTTTTAAATATCAGTCAAGACTTTTACCATTGAGTATACACTGATCAAACAGAATACTAAATCAGCACTAGAGAAAATGGGGTTGGATTCTATCAGCTTTACTCAGCTATTCCTTAAAAAAAAAAAAACATGCTTAAAACATCTTCATTCCCTGAATAGCAAGAACAGTTTAGTCCAGTCATCCTAATTTTAAACAGACATACTTTTAATATTGTATATTTCAAGTAATGAGCATTTCCTTTCTTAGAAGAAAAGGTTAAAAATAAATATTCTTACCTTGAAATTGTGGACCTTTTCATATTTTGGAATTTGTTCGTTTTCTTTCAGAGTTGCTCTTCTAACAAGTGATGTCAACTGCGAATAAGCAAAGAGTTTCAGAGGTTGCCAGATTGTCACAGACGACTTTTGAGAACCCAGTTTCATTCCCAAGGCTGCTATCAATAAATCTTGCTGACGGCCCTCTTGTTTTGATTTGTGAACTGTAGCTCTATTAGTTTTCCTACCCGACCAAGACTCTTTGGATGGCATTTTGGAATTCACAGGAAATAAAGCAAACCTATATTGATCTATGTCTGTCGATGAACTCTATTCAGCTAACAAATGAGCATTCTTCCAGCCAGCACAGAGCCCTACCCTACAGAGAGCTGCAGAGAAACAGCACAGGGAGGTGGAGGAGGGTGATGAAGCACTTCTTAAAAGAGGTCCACTAACCAGAAAAATTCTTCTTTCTTCCTTTTTTTTTTTTTTTAAAGGGCTCTATATTTAAGCTTCTGAAAACTTAAAAGTCTGAACAGAAATAAAGAGTCGATGCCAACACACAAAACATTCAGCATTTCTCTATCCTTTTTAAAGAGCCATGCAATTTTGACAAATGATGCATTTCTAAAAGCTTTCTTTTCTAGTCAGTACATTAATGTCCATTCTGAAGGAGAGGTGCCTACATACTGCCTGCGGTCAGTTTCTAGCGACTGACACCCTGGGAAGCCCCTGGCAGAGGGTGGGGGAGGGCAGGGATTTGACAAGGAAGGCTGGATTAGACTGGTCACCGCAAGAAAGGAGAGAACCAATAAGAGTCGAGCAACAGTATTTAAGTGCTGTATTCCTCAACTCTATCTCCCTCCTCTCATGTAAGATTTTCTTGCTGGCTCAAGGCAAAAAAAAAAAAAAAAATCAGTGTGAAGACAATGAGCACTGAATGAGTCATGCATCATTACAAAATGGATTTTTTTTTAACCTATTAAAAGCAAAGGAAAATTAACACACACAGCACTAGATTTTAAAAAGAAGGTACCACCTGCCAGGTAAATTATGAAAAACTGATCTATAATTTGCCTTTGTGCATATGGACTACAGTTAGTTAACTAAAACCCCATTTTATTAAACATGAGCAAAAGCTGAAAAGTATTTTGATGAAATACAAAAGTATGATAACTAGGTATCATACTATTTTCATGAAGAGCAAGGAGCACACCCTTGTCTGTGCCAACAGCCTGGAACGGTCAATTCAATCTCTCTACCATGAGTAGTTTTATTGTGCATCTCTAATTTTAAATAGGTCCAACCATTATTTTAAATGTTAATCTCAACATTCTTCATTCAAAGAGCTTCAGGCCAGGTCACGGTGCAAGCTGGTTGGGAACAGTCCCTCATGTACACAGGTCCCAGATGTAGTGTTGGACCCTGAGGTGTCTGTTTGCTGAACTAAGGGGCTGTAAACTTAGGTTTTCTCATACTGGTTCCCTCAACACCTCCCATCTGTTTCCTCATGCTATAGTAATTAAGTTTAACCCATTCTGATTCTAAAGTTACATTGTATTTAAAGAATCAAAAATGCTGTATTCAAATGAATTCAGTCCATCTGCTTAGATAAGTGCAAAAAATTTTTTTCAGATTTCATAGTCTGTAAGGGGTATGGGGCCCCTGCAGATTCTAATTTAATCAGGGCATGAAGTGGTCCTTAAACCATGGCAGATATTGATAATACTGAACGACTGATTTGTAAACATACCCCAATATTTTTTAATTTGAGTCTACAGTTCCACCTTTTAAAATGATTTCTTTTTAAAAAGATACTTCTAAGTAAATAAAAAGGCAAACATTAACATTTACATCTACAGATGTTTCATTTCCAAAAATTTATACCCTTACATGATTAATATGAGACAAAAAAATTTTTTCCAAGCAGAAACACAATGGAAAGAAGTTCCTTGCCTAACCTACATTGCTCTTTAGCTTAGACCTAGTTTGTCATGTGATGACTAAAAATAGAAAGGCCAGCCAACTGTTTAGTTACACACAACCTATAGTCAAGTTTATGTTTTTCTCAGTGGGCCTGAAAAACAGACTTTAAAGGCAAATTTGACAGTAATTTTTTTCTCCACATTATTTAACAATGAATGTTTAAATTACTAAGTTAAAGAAAACAGTTACCCATGTAACCCAAGAAACTTTTTCCTGAGTATTTCTGATTAAGAAATACTTAATTATAGATCATTCCAGTCCTTCAGCTGTAGTAACTAAAATTCAATCAAAGCATAAAAATATTCATAGTAGAGTTCTCCAGAAAATTCATGGCTGAGTAAAAATGAATAATTTTGTCACTGAGAGGTAAGGTCTACTAAGACTCCACAGTCACTGTCTTTCCTGAGTAACTCTTCTACCTAAGCAAGAAATACTGGAATAATTAAAACTTGGCCAACTATCTAGGGCACTAAGAAGACAAAAAACAATGGTTCCAGATGAAAAACTTCTTAGCTCCTCTCAACTGGCTGGAGGTCTTGTCACTAGTATACCTTCCATAATTGCAGCTGCATTTCTGCATTAATTTTGAGGAGCTCTCAAGTCAGAATCGCTAACTCTTGAATTCAGAACCAGTATCAACGTTCTGACATTCCAGACAAATGTCTACCACTCTTCCTTATATTTTTCTGACCATATATATCTGCTTAGATGGATACAGCATCTATTAATTATGACTATCATTCATTATTAGGTACTTAGGCTCTAAGCACCCAGCTAAACACTTTACATATATACAGAATCCCATTAATTCCACAGAAAAACTATCCATGAGGCATATATTACCCTTGTTTTATAGCGGGAAGAACTGAGGCCTACAGAAGTTAACTTCCCCAAATTGTACAGCTATTAGGTTAAGTGGTGGATAGGAGTTAGGCTTTTAAACACTGTGCTATATCCACTTAAATGAGAAAATGAAAGGAAACCATTGAATCTGAGAGTAGTTGCTTTTTCTCTCTGACTCTATTCAAGGTGTTTCTCTAGTTATTTTCTCCTTTCAGTTCTGAAGAGTAGCAATAGATTGTAAGACATAGCAAAGAATGAGGAACACCAAACGGTAAGAAGTAATAATCACTAAGATCTAGATCTCAAGTGTAGCCCACAATACATGCAGTAGGAAATGCAGCCCTCAGGCTCCATTCAGATACCCCCTCCTTCGGGATGCCTTTGACCATTTGAAGCAATTAGATGTGATGCCACCCACCTGTGAACCTCAGAGTCCTTCACTTGTTCATTAATTACGAGACGTATCACCCTCATATCACAGTTGCCTAAGTAGCTGTTTATATAGAACTAGATCTTACACATCTCAGTATAAATCCTGAATCTAGCACAGTAGCTCGCACAAATAAAGATTCAATGAATAAAAATCAAATGAAGGCAGCTATTTTTACTGGGGCAGTGTATTATAATAAAAAATGTGATTTAAAATCAGAGACACTGAAGTTTGAATCCTGACCTTGGGAGATTTATTTGTTGCCTTGGTTATCACATACTATGGATAACAATCCTGGAGAAGGGAATGGCTACTCATTCCAGTATTCTTGCCTGGAGAATTCCATGGACAGAAGATCCTGGTGGGCTACAGTCCATGGAATTTCAAAGAGCTGGACATAACTGAGCGACAAACACTTTCACTTTCATGTTCATGGATAGTAATACCTATTTATAGGGTACTGGACAGTTTGGGGATGATACATAAAGAGGAAAAGACTACAGATAGTTCTGTTCAGTTCAGTTGCTCAGTCATGTCTGACTCTTTGTGACCCCATGAACTGCAGCACGCCAGGCCTCCCTGTCCATCACCAACTCCCGGAGTCTACCCAAACTCATGTCCATTGAGTCAGTGATGCCATCCAACCATCTCATCCTCTGTCGTCCTCTTCTCCTCCTGCCCTCAATCCTTCCCAGCATCAGGGTCTTTTCAAATGAGTCAGCTCTTTGCATCAGGTGGCCAAAGTATTGGAGTTTGAGCTTCAACATCAGTCTTTCCAATGAACACCCAGGAATGATCTCCTTTAGGATGGACTGGTTGGATCTCTTTGCAGTCCAAGGCACTCTCAAGAGTCTTCTCCAACACCACAGTTCAAAAGCATCAATTCTTCAGCACTCAGCTTTCTTCACAGTCCAAGTCTCACATCCATACAAGCACTCAATAAATGATACAGGGCAGCTGTGCCAAATATTAGCTGCAGAGTATGTACACCGTGTAATGTAAGACAGATTTCTGTATAAGTGAAAGTGAAAGTCACTCAGTTGTGTCTGACTCTTTGTAACCCCATGGACTGTACAGTCCATGGAATTCTCCTAGTCAGAATACTGAAGTGGGTAGCCTTGCCATTTTCCAGGGGATCTTCCCAACCCAGGAATTGAACCCACGTCTCCTGCATTGCAGGCGGATTCTTAACCAGCTGAGCCACAGGGAACCCATTCTGTATAAGAAGTTAGATTAATCTGCCTTTGGTTCATCCATACAAGCATGCCTAGAAACTTCTGCTCTTCTCTTTATATTATGGTCTCTATCAAATTCCCCTAATTCTAGTTCTAATCCTATCTTTCAAAAAGCATATAATGTGTTAGCTGAGGGAGCGGGGATGGGATGGGGCTAAAAGTAAAGAAGATTCTCAGCATTTGTTAAGAAGTCAAGAACAATGTGTGATACTTCATATCTTTGTCCTAGTTCTTGGTTATAGAGCCTGAGACATGTTGCATAATGGACATTTTATAGGCCAAGAAATGCTCATGGATCATTCTTGCTGGAAACACCAGCAGTATTTTGCTTTGTATTTTGACTGGGAATCTTTGGCCTGTCTTGGACCTGACTCTGTCCACCCTTAACACAGACATCATTTCTGTATTCTGCTCGGATGAGGGTGGCTAGGCTGGAAAGAGAGATGGGAAAGCAGCAGATTCCACAACTTCTCTGTGTTTTTTTGTCCATACCATCTGTGGTTCAGAGAAGAGGACTGGGAAAATGAGGGCTGGTAGTGTTGTAAGGGGGAAATAGGGTGACCTTAGAAAGGAATGTATTTGCTGTTTTTCAAATAAAGAAATTT